GTATTTGATCCTAGGCTCTATGAAGAGGAAGGAAAGACCTCACAAAAATGAGGTCAACAAATACCTGATAAAAAAATATAGTTATAAGTGATAAAATTAATACAAGTTGGGATTAATAAAATATAAACTTCAAATTAAATAATATCTTGGATTGAGAGAGAGAGATAAACACTGAACATGAGTATTGCTTTTATTCCATATTTATACTAAAATCTCACATACAATTCTAAACAAATTTGAGTCTTTATTGTCTCTCTATTACTCATGCTGATATATAATATATTTCACATTTTTTATCATAAAATTCCACACATCAAAGATAAGGTGGAGACATGATTTTTCTTTATCAGTCATCATACTCAACATGTCATTTACAGGTTTTGTAAAAGCAATAATATAATTAATTTTATTCCCCCAAATATCATCGAAAAGTTTTTTCTTCACAAAATTTGCCTTATTTATTCATCTTTTATATACATATTCCACTTATCTCTAATCATTATTGTTTGTATCCCTTGTTTTATTGCTTTGAATCTCCTGAACGTTACTATATTTAATGCAAAACAAGTCTCTGCAATGACTAATATTTTAAACATTATAAATTCATTGAACATTGATAATCTTATTGACTGATTCATAATAATTTTTTTTATAAAATTGACATTTCCTGCAATTATCTAGCTGCATTGCTCATAAATTATCTCATTTTCTTATATATTCTTTGGAGCACATATATTTTTTAATGCCAAGTTCAATGTATGAACAACATAAGGAGTCCAAAAAATATGAGGATATTAAGCCTCAAGTAATACTGCTGCAGCTCTGCTCACAGGTGCATTATCAGTGATTAGTTGAATCAATCTATCTGAACCTACACTCGCAATTATTTCTTTAATGTCATTGACAATGTGAAATTTATCTTTATATGCCCCTTCACAAATAATAATTTTTAAAACATTGATCCGGATTCTGTGGCGTTCATGAAATTAATGAGATGTCTTCTTTGCACATCTGTCCAACCATCGCAAACTGTGTTAACTATTTTCTCATTCCAAGTCTTCTTTATAGGCTGAAATATTCTTTCAACATGTGCTCTCTCTTTTTGAAGCAAGATCGTTTTTACAAGATTATAATTTGGAGGAATATATCCAATGATTGTGTAGTTGGCTGCATATGAGAGCAAACTAAAATAATATGAATTTCTTGCCAAATGAAATAAAAACTTGCAAACTAAATTATTCAAGTAATTTTTTTATGTAAATAATCTCCACCTTACAAATTAAATATTCTTTCAGTAGTTGTTGCCTAATATTTTTCCTTATTTATCATCATAATCATAACCATCTAATCTAAATAAATGTCTACTTGGTTGAGAGCTACAAAACTGATTATAACCACTTTGGCCAGAAGAAGTGGAAACTTCTTAATTGCACATCATTCTTTTTTTTTTCACTTTGCATCATTATTCAACTTCTACATTTCTTGAAATTGTGTCAAAGTTACTTTAGGACACACTCAAATAGCAACTCCAGATTATCAAAGCAAGTGTGCTCTAACTCTATAATATGTTCCTTGAACTTTTTTTTGACAAAAATGACACTGAGATTCTACATTGCCTCCTCTCATTGATCCTAATTTCTCTAATTTGTATGAGCATTGTCTTGTCCTCTATGGGGTTGATATAGATAATTGTAGTAGCCATTATCTTATTAATTACATGCAGAAATTATAAACATATAACATTGATATGTATATTACATAAAAGAATATATCATATAGATGGGCTTATTTGAAGAGAATATCCATGAAGAATGTCATGACCAATTCTTAGGTTGTCAATTTAGCTTAATGTAAGCAGCTTGCGTTCAACTTAGTAATTGCTCAAGTTAGAGAAATTACCCAATTAAAATTTATAGTAAAAGGATTGACCCAATTTCTAGAAGAGTTTTTTATATAAGAACTACGAAAGAAGAGTGAGCGCATGAGAGACTTCAAAGAGCTCAAAAACATCCTATATGAAAGAAATCTTAAGGAAAAGCAAAATTATTATGTTACAATTAAAGACACCAGCTTTAAATCATATATCTCAGGCAAGGCTTATCACTAGAATATTTCACTTCACCCATGAAGTATTTTAGTGATATTTTCTTAAATGAGATGCTAATTTATTTATATATGTAACATCTAAATTTAATATTTTTATATAATCTTTAAGATAATTTCAGAAAAGAATGAATGTAAAAGTAGTTATAAATGCATATCAAATGCAAATTTTTTGGGCATTGGCATCCATAGGATGTAATTCTTCTCTATTGACATATCTCAAACCCAAATCTTCATATTTACCCTCATACCACTCAATTCTTTCATATCACAATAAAAGTGCCACTAATTATCACTGTTTACTAATCAAATCCACCTTTTCATGTACAACTAAAGTTATATGCAAGTAAATATGAAAGTTTTGGTGTGAGATAGGTAAGTACATAAGAATTATGTGTTATGTACGTAAATTTTCGCTCACTGAAACAAAAAATCCACCAAAAAAAGCATTGACGAAATAAATAAGGGACAAAGGTCTAATCACTAAACATGCACATATCATATGTTGGACGTCCTTTGGATCGCATTGAAGCTTTAGATCGTTCCCTAGCTCATGTCGAAGCTTTGGATCGTTCCCTAGCTCATGTTGAAACTCTGGATAGCGTCGAAGATTGCATCAAGCATTGTTTCGTACTATGGATCACGTCAAAGTTCTTGATTATGCCCTAGCTTGCGTCGAATCTCTGGATCAGGTTGAAGTCTCCCTCGCTTCGATTAGGGCTACTCCACAACTTCCTTGCTTTGATCGGTGAGGCTCAACGACGGCTTGCTTGTTGGTTGTTTCTATAGGGCTGTTGAAAAGGGTGGCAAGGCGATGATAAGACCTACTATTTGAGAAAACCACGACTTTGCTTTTGTGTTGCCGCTCCAGATTGTGCTTCGATGTCTCAAATTTAAGTTCTTGTGTCGGTCTCAAGCCATGTCGCTGGTTTCCGAAAGGTGTGAAATTAAACAAAGAGTTCAAACACGATTAATAGAGTTTCATACACATATCAGCCCTACATCAGCCCTTGTCAGGGCTGTGTCAGTGACTGACACCTGTCTGACACGCCTACGACTTCTTTTGGAGGCGTCGGTGCTTCATAACATCCATCTGAAGCGGCCCAAACCCTTCCCCAACTTCCTTCCAGTTCTGTTGCCGCCCAACACATTCTCCCCAATCCTTTCTTCGCCTCCTTCTAGCCTTGCCGCCGCTGTTCAGCCATGCGCACCGAGCTGCAACCCTCTTCCCCTCTCTGCCGCCATCAGAGAACAATAAGCTTGCTATTTTCCCCCTTTCAAACAATAAGCTTCCACCTTGGATTCACCCTCGTTTTAGTGTCGTGTGTCGTTCATTTTAATTTCAGTTTTGTGTTTGTTTGGTTGTACCTCTCTATTTGAATTCAACAATAATATTTGGTTTTCTTATTATTGTTTGGTTAAACTTTAGCATCACAATGCCTACAAAATTGACTTACCGGGAGATTACAGTATTTCTGTCTTCTTCAACATGGCCAAACTGACTCTATACTATGAGGAGATAGAAACTTTGATATTGAGGTTGAAGTTTCCTCAACCTCGGGAGAATGATTCAGAAGATTGTTGGGGCGTGGGGCGCGCCTGTGCATATCTAAACTGAACCGGTCCAGGCTTCTGGGGAGCTAGTCGACCCTTTAAGCTAGCGAACCACTACCAATCGAAGTGGGACCCCTCATAGTTATCTAGGGCTTATATATTTTGCTTTTGTCGTGTTAGGTTTCGGTTTTTGCTGTGTTTTGTATCGGTAGCAGCCGACCACTCCTCTTTTCTTCTAGAACTGTATCCCTAAATTCTGAGTAGTGCTCCGACTGTATCTTGCTCTCGAGGTGGGTTTTTCCTTTCTTCACTCTTCCCCTTCGTCCCCGCATCGATCCCCGTCGCCCTCCCTTGCCGCTGCTGCTACCCAGAACAACAAAGCGATAGTGTTTTCTCTGTAGTTTCCAGCCTTCCCAGCCATCTCCCTCCTTCTAGCGTCTTGAGACAACCAACCTCTGCCGTTCTTGCCACTCCCACCCCAAAGCCTTGCCGCCGCCGCCAAGGTTGACCAGCCCTTTTGCTGTCCTTGCAGTTTCTCACCTCCCTCTTTGCTATTGTCATCATTCCGTTGCTGCTGCTCCACCATCTAGCCACTAACCACCCATTTTGCTCCCCTCCGGAGGTCCAAATCCCTAGCCGACACCACTTGCACTCTAGTTTTAACCCTAGTGTTAGTATTTGTTGTGTGTTGCAATTTCAGACTTCTACATTGTTTTGTTTTATCTCCCTATTTGTATCCAACAATAATATCTGTTTTTCCACTGTTGTTTGGTTAACTACGGCATTATTTGCATAATATTTTCTATAAAAGGAGTTTAGCTTGAATCATTTGTTTAATTTTTCTCAAGTGTATTAGTAGTATATTCAAAAGTGCTTGGTATTTGGAGAGAAGTTTTGATTTTAATACGCAACTCTCTTTTTTATTGCTATAATTATCTTATCTTTCATGGAACAACAAGCATAAATGATGCACCGTTATAGTAATTCAATGAAAATAATTATGAAAGAATTGTAGCTAATTAGCCACTATTCTTATTTATTTACTTGATTGAGTTAAGGGAAATGTGATTTAGACTGAATAGATGGCAATTTAATATCTAAATCAATGAATTTATCAAATGCTTATATTTTATTTCTGTGAAATCCTAAGTGACTTTTTAGTACTAGAGTATAAATGGGATTTAAATTCTTTATTTGGAGATTCAACCATTGGAATAAATGAATTTATTGAGTTCCTTAGATTTTATTTTATTGAGTCAATTGACTTTTTTATCTTAATATTGTTTATATTTGTATTTTTTTATGCACTGTGAGACTTTGGTTAAAATTTACAATTGCTGGTTCAGTTGTATTTAGAATCAATTCATGATCTGCTGGCTCCTGCAAAAATCAACATATCCATTTCTGAAGATCCTAAGTCAGGTGAAGTGTCTTTGCCTGGTGCTGCTATTTTTCAAATAATGGATATTCAACATTTTCTGGAGCTGCTACAGATTGGGGAAGGAAATCGTCTTGTGGCTAATACTAAGTTGAATACTGAATCTTCTCGAAGCCACGCTATTCTGATGGTTAGCGCATAAAGTCTGTTTGTCATTTACTATAAAATTTTTGTATATTTGCAGATTATGTGCCCATCAATTAGTTATCTAAACTTTGAGCTAGTATTTGGAGTTTAAACATATTTCTTGGTGTAGGTTTATGTACAGAGATCTTCTAGAGGGCAGGAAGGAAATGGCTCATCTTCACGTGATATGTCTTCTTCATCCAAGTTGCCAACTATACTGAAAAGCAAGTTGCTACTTGTTGATCTTGCTGGATCAGAAAGAATTGATAAATCTGGTCTGGCTAAGAAATTTGCCCTTCTCCCTTTCTGTTTAATTTTTGTTTATAGTTTTTATTTTAGCTTAATCACAATATTTTATTCTTCGCTTTATAAGGTTTAAAAGAATCTTAAAGCTACAGTGAGGAACAATTTCTTAAATTATGAATTCTTGCATTGATTTGATTTTATTTTTTCTCTAATGTTTCTAAGATAATTTCTTGCTTTCAAGCATCAACTTTGTTGCATCTGTCGAAATATAGATCTGGCTTGAAAGCTTGCATTATTTATTCACCCCATGGGTATTTATACATAATTCCAAATCACGAATCGGAGGGTGCAGACCTTCCAATCTGGTTTTCTCTATATATATATTAATGCAATACTAAACCAAGGAGAAATTAGTAAATTCATTATGCGTATGCTGATTTTGCTAGACAGGAAGTGAAGAAATATTGTGGATTTATGCTGACATAAATTGATGGTAATAGCATTTACATGCATAATTTATTTGTAATCTAAATATTACTCCTCAAAGTTGGTGCTAAAGATTTATCATTCCAAGATTGCATAAAATATTTTTGAATGCAAGACTGCAAAGCTTTTTTGCAAATACGTTGGTAAGTTGATTGTATAGAAATATAAGGAGTACAAATCTATTCATTGTCCAGTTTTTAGTCTTAAGAAAGGCTTATCTACTTTTATATATTTGGTTTGATCGTATAGTACTAGATTCTAGGTAATATTGATGACAAATATATTTTTTTTCACAATATAGCCTTGTAGGTTTATTCTGTTCGATCTTTAAATATTCTAGTATTATTTTAATTTATGAAGCTCTTGTATGCCTTGAGTGATTGCTTTGAATTTAGAGTTTATGTTTGTTCTAAAGGCATCGTGTTGTTTCTTTATTCTCCAATTTACTAGATTTCCTCCCAATAGTGTGCAATATTTTGAAGTTTATCTCCTATTTGCCAGTGTTCGTGTAATTGCCATTAGTATAACTTTTATTTTGTATAGTTCTATGTTTATATGAAGAATCCTTTTTTAAGAAATTTGATTTTAGGTACACTAGAACTTTGCAAATGGCTTGAACGTGATTTTTTTTGGGTTATGCATAATTTACTTATATGATTTACTGCAAAAGCGATGTAAGGACTGGTGTAGCATAGGTAGAATAAATGTTCAACTAATCTCTGGTATTGTCTAATGTCGGCTTCCATTCTTTCGTTGGAATTTTACATGGCTTGTAATCAGTCATTTTTATTTCTTTGAAAAGATCTATATCATCTTTTTTTTTGAGTGATCGAAATATTTATCTGAGCGAGCGACTTTATACTCAAAAAGCATTTGAACTTGCAGTGTTGTTTGATTTCAAATTTGTTTGGAGTTTTTATCGAGTAATTCTCTTTTTTAATTTTTATCGCATGCAATAGTTATGTAAACTACCTACACTATGATTGAAATAATTCCTTCATGGAATATTTTATTAAGGGTGTGTGATCTCCTTGAACTCTGTTTATATCTCATTTCATACATGATTTTTATAAATTTGATAAACCATGTTTTTGTAGATTGTTTAAGATTATATATTATTTTTTATAATCTACATACCTCATTTTATTGGAGTTGCTAAGTTCTAGTGGAGCATCATTATAAATTTCTTTTATACCCTTTTGAGATTTTTTATAATCATACATATATTTTTAATCTGAATGCTTTATTTTTTGTGGGAACATTTAATTCTAGCGGAGAATCTATATAATTTTCTTTGAGATCCTTATGTGTAAAGGATATTTTCATATCATATTATTGCATGCACTAATCAAGGTTAGCAACTTGAGAGATTAGGATGTGATTTATATATTCATTTTGGCAACAATAACAATATCTTTGGTAGTTTTTCCCATAAAATTGAGTATATTCTTCTACTTGTCTCACTGTATAAGTTTCTGTTTGTTTTGTATTTTAATGAGAGAACATACTTGCATTCTGCAGTTTTTTTTTGGTAGTTCAACCTTCCCCTAGGCGTGACATTTTTCCGGGACAATTAACTCTTCACTCATGGCATTTTTTTTTTAAATTTTTGCTGTCTGAGGTCTCTTATAGAGTTTGTGATTTGTAATGACGCTGGAACTCATATTTGTAAAGAAGGTAATTATGTGTAGAAGAAAATTTTGGAAAGAATGCGCGCTGGATTATGTGGTATAAAGGAGAATTTATGGTAACAACTTTATCATTGTTATAGGTTTTACTTGAGGACAATTTTAAGCCTTGAACTTGTTGGAAACTTGGATGGGCCTTGTCCTTCTTTTATATGTATGAAATAGTTTAGTGATACGAATAACTTGTAATTTTTTTTATTAGTTAAGATGTTTTGAGAGAAGATATTTAATTTATAAAAAAATTTCCATTTTGTTGTTTTTTCTCTCAAGTTAAATTTGAGCGATGAATTATATTCATCCTTAGAAATGTTAGCTTTTGAAGTAAAGAATTTTTTTCAGGTGATACGATAATATAACACCATTTTAGGATTATTAGAAGATGTTATAGATAGATTTAGTAGGAAGAGGCTATAGAATGAGAAGAAGAAAATAGATGAAATTAGCGAAGTTTGGAAGGGGTTGAAGCTTTTCGGCGGTGTTTGGTCTGAAAAACAGCGGGGCGTACAAAATAACAGTGAGGGACAGATGGTGGGGATGATCCATCACCTATTTTCTTCAAGATGCAGATTCACCACTTGAAAAAAAAAAAAGCTAAAACTCTCAAAATAAGACAAAACAGAGAGAAGTCTCCAAATAATATAAACCAGAACAAATATCCCAAAATCAGAAAATAACAACATATAAATAGTACCCAAGCAAAAATAACCCTAATTTTAATCAAATGAATATTAAAAAGGGGCCCACAAGTGTTGGAGGTAGCAAATAGGCCAGAAAATCTGGCTAGAGGCCCTCCATGAGACTGGATCCCATGTCGATTCTAGTTTTGCGTATCCGGGAGGATTATGGCTTATGTTCGGTGTCGTAGTATTTATACCCTTTTTGAGTGGATAGGTATTCTAAACAAACACACTTGCGTGCTCTGGAATTAGGCTTTCTACGTTATTGTTTATCAATGTGAATGTATAATCCACCACTAAATGTTTTTAGAGGAAGTTTTGAGAAAATATTGTGAGAAAAATTTTAACATACTTTCAATAACTTTTAAAATTATTTACTCTCGAGGATACTCAATTGTTCAATATTTGAAAGTTAGTATAGTTTCTTTCCGAGTGAGTACATTGTGGAAAAGAAGAGTCCTGGTAACATTTGGGCGATGACAAATTTCCTTTATATTATTCTATTTTGTATTTGTGTTAGGGTAGGAGGGTTGGTAAAATTTATTTATTTTTTGTTTTTTAAGGAGAAGAGATACAATTTGATTAAAATATTTTTAATAATCATCATTCTTAATTTTTATTATTGTGAATTTGGAATTGATTTTTTATCGTAGATATAAAGATTGTAGGAATAGGATTGATATGATATTTTTATTTGATAGGATATACCCTTACATTTAGTTACCATCATCAATAAGTACAGTAAGATTTTTGTGGACATATTTGAGACATTGAAGGCATAAGCGTTAGACTTTGTAACATTTTGAGCTCGGAGGCATGAACCGAATGGCAACCAAATGGCTTTTCTTGGATGTTGATAAATTTCTTGGCTTGTCATATTATTTTGAGTTGAGCTCTTTTGTTGCAATGAGAAAAGCTTGCCCTTTTGATTGATTTTTTTTTTTCATTTATACTATGTCCTTGGATTTTCATGGAGCTTCCAATATTTTCCTTTGATGTGCTTACATTGTAGGCTGCTTTTGGGGAAAGGTGTTTTTCCTCTTTCTAGGAAGCTCCAAAGGTAATTAATTATTTATCTCGAGCTTTTATGGCTGTCTTGGCTGAAGTTTTAGCTTTGTGTGTTAAGTATGCTGTAATACCAGTTTTATGAAATCTTGTAAAAACTTTAAGAACTTTAAAATATATCTCAAATTTTGCATTTCTCAGATTTCAACAGAAGCAATTTTATAACATTCTACGTGTTAAAACCATCAATTCGATACCCACAATATGTAAATTATAAATGGATTGAGAAATATAAAAATTGAAAGTTTTAAGCTTAATTAATTTAATTAAACCTAATAATTTTTTAATTCTCTCGCACCCTTACTATTCCCAACCGACTCTCATGCGATATTTACCCTTAGTTGGCATCAAATGAGAGAATCCTCTCCAGAGCCTTCGATCCCTCTCCCATCTCTCGGTTTCATCCGCACTTCTCATTTCCCTATCTTGATTTTTGTCTCCCGTGAAGCTACCTTTGTGCACTGGCACAGGCGCGATCCAGAGTACAAACAGAGAAAGCGGTGTGCATGAACGAGAGCCGTTGGCTACGTTTTCGGGTTTAAGGGTGAAATTGGTAAGTGAGAATCTCATTTTCGTAATATTCCATATATTCCTTTTCTTCCTCACATTTCCATTTAGAGATTTGCCAGGAATCGTGCATTTTTTTTTCATTTCTGGTCTTTATGGTTGCTGGTCTTTGTGGCGGAGATGAGATTGTATTGAAAGTGATGAATGTGGTTTTTGAACTTCTGTAAGGGTCTTAAGTGAGAAATCAATGAAGATATGAGAGAAATAAGGTGATAGGAAGAAGAGGGAAAAGAATTTGGCAGTTTCTAAGAATCTCAGGCTGTCATGAAAGCCATTTAAGCTAATTAGTTATATTTTTTGGTTAAATTACCGTATGAGCCAAGATATCCCAAAATTCTAAGATATTCACAGATTGTAGATTGTTTACTTGAGATGAAAAGCTCATGTCGAGTGTTTGAAAGCTAGTTGTAGGACGACTCTGTAAATTCCGGTAAATTAATTCTACGCTAAGAAAAATAATTCAATTAATTGAAATTGCTTAAATTTTAAAATTTCATCGTTTGCTTTATAGGTTATTAATATCAACATAAAGGCTATCACAACCAT